TTATTTATAAATATCTTTTAAACTGCTGCTACTTATGTGCCCTTTTATGCTGCTGTTGCCGTGTGCCAAACATATTTGTTTTTTCTAAGTATTTATTTATTTTTATATTCCTGTATTTTACTTGCGTAGGGTGGACTAGCAAAGTAAGATTTTCATTGTACGGTGTAACTGTCTGTTTACTATGCATATGACAATACATATCTTGAATCTCTTAGGTTACTAGTAGTTACTGAGCTTGAAAGAAAGACTTATCATCTGCATAGACGTTTCAGTTTAAAGACTTTGTAATAATCTGGAATAATATTGGTTTTGCTTAAAAGTATTTTATTTGCTGTTGCTAAAGAGAATGAGCCAACAGAGTAACATGATTTACTACAGTAACGCTGTCATGAATCACTTTAGATACTGACTGCTAATAAGGATATTCTTTCATATCAAAAGATCTAATGATTGTTTTCTAAATTCATTCAAGGGGCCTTATTATGCTCTTTGGGGTTTCTCTTTGTGCGTCATAAAAGGGCCTCTTTAATTCATTTTATGGTGTAGAAAATTGATATTTATGGAAAAATGCCTATCTTATGCCTGGGGTAACAGATATCAGATAAAAGCAGGAAGTCTTATTTGACTGACAATCAAATAAACCTTGACTCGCCTTTTTTATATGCTAAAATAATCCTATTTGATCAAGAACGGTTGGTAGATATGCAACACACAATGATATCTGTTCAAAGTAAATATGAAATAATTCCATTGTATCTGCTGTTTCCTGTAGGTGCCTGACTACCCCTCCCACATCAAGCACCCGATGGACTTCTCCACCATGAGGCAGCGCATCGACGCTCAGGCCTACAACAACTTTGAGCAGTTTGAGAACGACTTCAACCTCATTGTGGATAATTGCATGAAATACAACTCAAAGGACACTTATTTCTACCGGGCGGCCGTTCGCCTCCGAGACCAGGGCGGGTCCCTGCTGAGGAAGGCCCGGAGAGACGTGGAGATGATCGGCTTCGACTCGGAAAGTGGCATGCACCTACAGGAAGCTCCGGAAATCAAAGCAGAAAGATCCTTTTCCTGGGAGGACGGTAAGACAAATGCACTTTGACGCACCATTCAAACATGTTGAAAATATTGTAATAATTCCCACACATTTCAGTAAACGCTGTTAAACGTCACTTGAAAGTTTAAAACATATAAGCACTGAAATACGTCACGAAATAAAATAGAATGCTAAATAAACACTGTTAATTTACATTATGCACATTTCTTAGTCACAAGCAATGTGTTTCGTGAATGACCTAATGGTGCTTGAATTGAAATGTTGCAGACGCAAGGTATTGTGGGTCCGCATTATGTCCATAAAGGATGGTCCAGTGTCTTGTAGCTACTTCCCTATCATCCAAAGAACTCAAACAGCTCTTGTATTAACTGCCACTTATGTACTTCCAGGTTATACAGGTTAGGAATCTTCCTGTGCAAAATTGTCAACCACATGTTTCAATCTCCTCCTTCAGTTGACCGCCTACTAGTACCAGCCAATCGGATGCATCTGTCTCCAGACAAGCAGCTGCAGCAACTGTTGGAGAAGTTTGACCTGACCTGTGCCATGAAGTCCAGCCCCTCCCGCAGCAAGCGCTTAAAGCTGCTCAAGAAGACCATCAACGATGTGCGCAATGAAATGAGCCTGAAGAGGGTCCTGCCCTCCCACCACCATCACTATCATCACCACCATCACCACCACTCTTCTTCTTCCTCCTCCACAACCCCCTCCACATCAGCGTCATCAACCGCCTCCCACCCAGAGTTGAGTAAACCTAAAGAGGAGACATCGAAGCCCAATGGGCACTTTCCAGATGATGAGGGTACGTACGGATTGGCTTTAGATTGGTCATTTTTCTGCTTGACGCCATGCTCTGTGATATTCACTTGTCCTGAATAGACTGAAGCCAATCAATTGTATCTTTTTGACGGAAATGGGTTGTAAAAAACCTGGAGTTCATTGCCAGTGGAACAACTGCAGGTTTTTCTGCCCA